ATTGAAAAATCTTCCTGGATGGAAGAGAAACGTCTTCAGACTTGGAAACAAAGTCCAGAGGATTGATTTTAACTTTTAGGAACGATATGGAAGGTTCAGCACAGTGCAAAATAAATAAATATGGTGGAAAATGCAGCAGAAAGATTGAGTTGTGTTCTGTTTAAAATGATGAATAAATAAAAAAAATCCGCCGTGCCGGTGGTGCAAAAATAACGTTTCATGTGTGATGCTGTTGATATGAAATATAAGTTCATGTTTCACAACAGACAAAAAGAAATTAAAATCTATTGAAACTAGATTAAATCTGTATTTGTATTCCGCAAGACCAAAGCAACTGATAAAAATGACAAAAAATCCCTTTCTGAAAAATACAATTGATGTTTGGTATAGGACCCATCAATATATTGGAGATGCCCCCTCCATCTCCTCTTTCTCACCCATCTGGGGGAACAGATATTTTAAGACGGGGACAGCTGATGGAGGCAAATAAAGGTGTACAGAAACTGGCAGATCTTTATAAGGATGACAGGCTTCTTACATTTGAACAGTTAGGCCAAATATATAGCATTCCAAAGAAACACTTTTATGAGTATTTACAAATTAAACATTTTATTATCTAAAAACATAAAACGATTGAATCCAAACCACCACTATCATACCTAGAGAATATTGTGCTAGGAAATTTAGAGAGGAGAGGTCATATTTCTTTATTTTATATAGCTCTACTAAGGCACGCTGAGGAATACACTGCAGATAAACTGGATGCATGAAGAGCTGACATTCGAGAAGAGATACAAGTAGCGGATTGGAACACTGCATGCGTAAAGGCCCAAAAGCAATCAATCAATACAAGCATGAAACTCCTTCAGTACAAGTGGTTAATGAGAACTTCCATAACTCCAGTCAGATTGAATCGCTGGGCTCCTAACATCCCAGATATCTGCCGTAAATGTTTGGTTGGAAGGGCTGCTCTCTTTCACTGTGTATGGGAGTGTCCAAAGTTACAACAATATTGGAACTTGGTTACGCAAACTTTGTCAGAGATTGTTGGAGTGAATGTACCTGCTGAGGCCAAAATGTGTGTTTTGGGTATTTATCCAGAGAACTGTGCCTTTAATTCCAGACAGTTAAAATTGATTGACTTTGGACTCCTGCAGGAGAGGAGATTAATATCTCTATACTGGAAAAAAATAGATATACCATCAAATCACATGTGGGTGAAGCAGATGACATCGTGTATGGCTCTGGAGCGACTTGCTTATATTGTCAGAGGAGAAGGAGCAAAATTTGAAAAGACATGGTCACCGCTGACCGAGTTTCTGAAACGTTAAGAGAACTGCGCTGAGATGGCTGGGTTTGATTTTTTCTCTCATTGTTCATTATTGTTTGTTTTAGGCACCAAGTTATTTAATGAGAATCTGTGTTAAGTGTATCACTGTCACTTGCTTTTTTTTAAGCTTTTTTTTTTTTTTTTTATTCAATAAAAATTTTCTTTAAAAAAATGTATTGAAACAGAAAATGCATAGAAATATATTCATAAAACCTGTTAAACATGAAATAAACTTTAAAAAGCTTTTGTCAGTAAACAAAGATAAAGAAGATGCATCTGATGGGATTTTGCTTCATTCTCAGTGAAGTAAAGCTGCCTCCTGATGACAGCAGAGGGAAAACGCAGGAAGATGTGGTTTTAGACCACAAAGTTTAAACTAAAACCCAGATTGTTTCATTTTCTATCCAACGCTGGTAAGAAAAAGAGTCAGAGATGGAACAACGTTAGTTTCTTATCAGTTAGATCTTTAGTGAGCTGTTGAGGAAGCTCGGGCTCGGTGCGCGGGGGAAACGGGACCTGGAGCGGCAAACGGCTGCAGACGCTCACCTGCGACATCCCCTCCATGTCGAGCTGAATGAGGTCCGTCTGGTTGTACTGCAGGATGGCCAAACCCACGCGGAAGATGATCTCTAGGCCCTGGCAACGAGGTGCACATCTGAACGATGGGACTCTGAGTTTTGCAGAAACATTTACTGCAGAAATGTGTCCAGATATCGCCGCATGGTTCCTACCTCATACATGAATATATCAAAGATGCGCGTGGCGACAGGTAGAGGGAGGAAGGTGAGGAACAGGGTGAGGAACCAGGAGGAAGCGTACATGGACGTGTGGAAACTCTGGGAGCGGAAATGGACGTTCAGCTCTGGAAGCTGCTCCTGTGGAAGACAAAGACAAACCTCTTAGAAGGAAGTGACTTTTGAAGATGGAAATAGAGCTTTTGCTGCCCTCTTGTGGTGATTTACGACAGTTGGGGTGAAATATTAGTTATTTGTTTCACCTGCAGCAGATATTCAAACTGGTAGATGCAGAGGCCCAGCTCGGCCATGCTGGGTTTGAACAGTTCCCTCAGACGGTACTCCTGCATCAGACGCACAAACACACAAAACGCCTCCTCCTCTGGCATCTGGGGGGAAACAGAGGGACATGTCCACGCCTTATGGAGGACTTAATGATGCCACACTGTCCAACTTTACCTACAGAGGTTCTTTGGATCAGATTGAGACGCATGAATGTTTAAGGAATAATGAAGAGTCGCATGAATTCATAATAATCAGGACTGGAGAAGCAACAGCTCAGTCATTCCACAAAAGAAAGTTAAAATCAATCCACTGGACTTTATTTCCAAGCTTGAAGACGTTTATCTTCCATCCAGGAAGATTTTTCAATTCAAAATGTCCCGTACCTGTCCAAGTTTCTGAACAGCAGAACAGAAGACCTCACCTGTTCAGCCAGGCCAGCT